CCTTCCGGCGAGGCAGCTGGGCAGACGGTCGCTGATGGCAGTCCTCATCGCTGCCTCTGCGGACAAAACCATGAGACCCACACACCACCATGGCTCACCTCTTGCGTGGAAAGCAGGCCGGTGTCAGCAACGACCTCTCCCTGGGCCTGGGCCCTGATTCATTCGTACTCGACCATGTACGCGCCCGCTGTCTTCTCGCCCCGCCGTTCCCCCAGCCCTCTACGCGCAAGCTAACAGCACGTGAAGATCCGCAACTACGGCATCAACTCCAAAGTCACCCAGGTCGCATACGACCCCGTCCAATCCCTCCTCGCCGTCGGCACGAGCGACAGCAAGTATGGCCCCGGCCAGATCTACATATTCGGGCAGAAGAGGGTCGAAGTGGTGCTGTCGCTGCCCACGCGCGCCTCGATCAAGATCCTGCAGTTTTGCGCCGAGAAGCTGCTGTGCGTAGACTCAAAGAATGACTTGTCTGTCTTTTCGCTCGAGACGAAGAAACTGCTCAACGCCCATTCCCCTCCCGCCCGCATTACGGCGCTGCACTGCGACCCTACCATCGATTACGCGCTGCTCGGTACACAGCACGGTGAGGTGTACGCCTATGATCTGGCTAGGGAGGCACTTACGCCCTTCAAGATTCCCAACTTGTGGAGGGAGAAATTCCCTCGCTCGCGCCTGACCTCCGTTGTTACGCTCTCACTCCACCCTCGAGATATCGGCTCCCTCCTCATTGGGTACAACTCGGGCGCAGTCATTTATTCGTTTAAGCAGAACAAGGCCCTGCATTTCTTCAACTATGTGGTCCCCAAAGGAGCCCCTGGAGGCGACTCGGATCCAGTCTCCGTCCCCAAGGACCGCGAACCTCCGCTTACCCAGGCTGTCTGGCACCCAACCGGCACCTTCGTTCTGACGGGACACGAAGACAGCAGTATCGTTATATGGGATTCCAAGGATGGCCGCATCGTACAAGCGAGAACCTTGACCGACACAAACGTAGACAAGCCTGGCCCAGGCAGTTTCAGCCCAGGTGCCGTGGAAGGATCGTTTGCACTCAAGTCCCCCATCTTCAAGATTGCGTGGTGTGCGAACCAGGACCCTGACGATACCGCTATCCTCATCGCTGGTGGACAGCCATCCAACATCTCCGCCAAAAGTCTGACGTTGTTCGAGCTGGGTAGAACACCGGTTTACGCGACCGCATCCTGGCAAGTACTATCCGATCACTTCGAGAATCCCAAGAGGCAAAGAATACTTCCATGCCCGCCTGGGACCGAGGTGGTGGACCTGTTCCTCATTCCAAGGACGTCCCCTCATTACGCTGGCTGCCACGACCCCATTGCCATTCTCGCCTTACTTGCATCTGGGGAGTTGATCACTCTCTCTTTTCCAAGCGGAATGCCCATCACGCCAACTAATCAATTGCACCTCTCCATGACGCTTGTTCATCCGTATATCAATTATGCAAATCTCGCGCCTGTAGAGCGTACACGGTGGCTTGGCATGACCGAGAAGCGCCAACACGGTCCGCAATTCCTCATCGGTGGTGCCGAGGCTGTTCATCCCCTCAAGCGGTTTGAGAACCGAAACATCGTGCAGACTGCTCATGCAGATGGCACGATCAGACTATGGGACGCAGGACATGCTGATGAGATTGAGAACCCTGCATTGCTACAGGTAGACGTAGCTCGAGCAGTCGGCCGCCCAGAGCATATACACGTCACACAAACTTCGTTCGCAGGCGCAGCATCTGAGCTATCCGTAGGGCTGAAGAGTGGTGAAGTAGTAGTGTTCAGATGGGGTGTAAACAGGCATGCTGGACAGGAGTACCCACCCGGTGACAACAAACCGCAAGCGCTTACCAATATCTCGGAAAGAAGTGAAGCGGCTCTCAAAGAGGGACTGCTGCCTTTCACTTTGCTTGACGAGGGTAATGGACCAGTCACCGCCTTGAAACATTCTGATGTTGGCTTTGTTGCTGCGGGCTTTGAGGGTGGCAGTCTGGCCATCATTGATTTGCGAGGGCCCGCTGTTATCTACAGAGCGTCGATACAGGAATTTGTCAAGCCGGACAAACGCGCCAGCTTCCGACGGAGCTCAACGCAGGCAGCACCCAAAGCGGAGTGGCCCACTTGCCTCGAGTTCAGTGTTATGACACTCGAAGATGACGACTATTCCAGCATTCTACTTCACGTCGGTACCAATCTTGGCCACCTGGCAACCTTCAAGCTACTGCCAGAATTAAGTGGCCAATACTCAGTAAAACCTGCAGGTGTGTGCTCGCTTGACGACAAGGTTATCAGCATCAGCCCCATGCACGCCGAAACTGGTCGCCCAGCATATGCTTCGCAGTCTGCCGTTGCTGGACTTCGGACTGGCTCGAAGATTAGCGGCGTCCTTTTAGCCACAACAGCCTCAGGCGCGAGGTTATTCCGTCCCGCTACAAGTAAAGGAGCGCACAAAACCTTTGATCAGTTCTTGTGCGATGCTGCGACTGTAGTGAGGTACGAAGACAAGGGCTACGCAATGCTTGGGTTGTATGGAGATGGATATGCGAGAGCGCATTCGCTACCTGCATTGAAGGAGATTGGGTCTGTCAACCTCAGTGATTTCTTAGACATCAGGCGCTTCTCTGAGGCAGTCATTACAAGTACTGGCGACATCTTTGGCTGGAAAGGGCCTGCGGAAATGGCTCTTGTCAACGTTTTTGGAACGGGACTGCAATAGTAAGTCGACTCATCTCCCCAGCCATGACATATGTACTGACCAAATCTAGTGAACGCGCGAAGGATGTCTTGCTCAACCCAGAACTTTTGATTCCGCCCCGACCCACTATCAGCAATATTCAATGGATCTCTGGCACCCAATATGTAACACCAGCCGACATGGATCTTCTCAGTAAGCTATTCTTACTTCTATTCCCAACCAATTACTGACTTCTCTTAGTTGGTGGTCCTGATAGACCCTTATCAAATCGTCAAATGGCGCAGCAGCGAGCAGAGGCAGAGCAGGAACGACGCCGCGCCAATCCGACCGCAGCCAGCTCTTCTGCCGCTGGATATCAGTCCTATCCTACCCAAGTATCCCCGACTCAAGAAGGATGGGGTGCCTGGGCGTCTCGCCAGCTCAACGAGCGCACGGAGAAGCTAAACATTGTTGGAGACAGTATGGACAATCTTTCGCAAAACAGTGCAGGTTGGGCAAATGACGTCAACAAGTTTGTCGGAAAGCAGAAGAGAGGGCTAGTCATGGGTGCTATGAAGAGTAAATTTGGATTTTGAGTCAAACACACGTCAAAGGAACATGACGGTACAGTCGCCCACGGCTATGAACGCTTGGAAGTTTGGGGTGTTAGATGCGTGCTCTTTCGAGCGATCCAATCCTGATCTCTTTAAGCCTACTTTTAAGCAACCAATCTAAAGAAGTGACATGCGCCACTGCCATGCTTCAAGCGCCCATGATGCAACATTTGGATCTGACACTATCATTCCTGACTGACCACGCCCGTGGCACCCAAACCGGTATCATCTCGCTAGTTCCTGCCCTTCGTCAGCGACCCCGGCTAGCGCAGGGCAACTTCCCCAACCGTGCGCTGCCATTCTGCCTCTTGACACACCACCACTTCCTATGAACACATTGAAACGAGAAAGCAAACGCTCTTCACAACAATGAGTTTCCTCAGTGGCATCTGGCAAATGCTTCCAAGCGTACACTGGCTGCTAGGCCCACCCGAACCAACTCGCCCTTTCACACCAACCTACGCCGACGTGTGTCGCGCCCGCGCCGTGCTCAAGACCCTCAAACTACCCACCGAGCTGGTCCTCAGCATACTAGAGTGCGCGCAATACTGGCCCGTCGAAGGGATTTCCCGGTCAGGCGGAACCGTCCTCGCCCGCGCTGGAATGAATAACCCGTCGGCAGCAACTCTCTGTCTCGAAGCCAACCCCTACACCACGCCCATCGTGAAAGAAGCCAGCCTCGGCGGCGAAACAGCAAAGATCAAGCGCATCGATTTTGACATCACGAGTAGAGACCAAGGCTGGACGAGCGAGAACACGCAGGGTACTTTTTCCACCTCTTCATGGCTTGAGGTGTCCATCTTGCGCGATGCATCGAACATCAATAGCCTGCTTCCTACTCCACGCTTGGTGAATACTTGGATTAGCAGTCCGACGGATTATCATACTAATATGGTGGGGCGCGGTTGGTCGCTTGTCAAGAGGCCCGAGAGTGCGCTGCAAGGCCCGCAGGGTGGTGAGGGGCATTTTGCTTGGTACCTACAGGGTAATCGTGTTATGGCTGGTACTCAGGACTATCATGTTTCATGGGATGAAAGTGGGTTGTGTGAGGTTGATGAGGGCAACGAGGGGGCGGGGAGTGGAGAAGGCTTCTTGGATGCGTTGGAGCCGGGTGATCGTGTGTTGGTTTGGGCGAGGGCCAAGGTATGTTTGAGATGCGAGATTCGGAGGCTTCGTTGCCATGCTAACATATTTGACAGTATCCAGGGTGGCAATGCATTGTTGATGGTGTCAGCGTTACTGTTCACTACGGCTTCTAAGGCTCGAACTGTTAGGAACCTCCTCTACCTAATCTGGGTTTACATCATTCTACTTGTACGAGGCGTCAGCCAATGGTCGTTTTGTTCACGTTACAGCTGTTTCATGCTTAAGTTGTAGGACCGGCTCTATTTCAGGATAATGATCGCATTCATGTGAGTCTCTGGTTCGTCCACGCCGCCTGGCTGCCCGCGCAGAAATACTCCCAAAGACACGATCCGATGAGAATAACTCTACGCAAACCAGCCGACCCATGTGCATCTAAGCAATTGACTTTTCCTATCCCAGAAATGGCGCTCATCGCTGCGCAGCACAAACTCAATATCCGTAATGCCCAGGCCCTAGCTTCCGACTCGTCGTCAGAGCGATATGTCGAAAAAGAAACGCTCCTTCATCGCACATGCTCCAGCTTCGGCGGCCATGCTATGCATAGGCTGATGAGCCGTCTTATTTGGCATCATCTTCATCCTTCTTGGCCTCTTCCTTCTTCTCTTTGCCCTTCTTGGCATCGCTGTCCATGACGGTCTTCATCTGCCTGAGGTACCTCCCGAACTCCCCGAAGCTAGTCAGATCCATGCCCTTGGTAGTATTAGTGAGTTTTTCAGCGGCAGACTTGAGACGTGAGTTGCGCTCATTGAGGTTGAGGAAGCTTCTCTTGAGGTTGTCTGCCTTCTGCTGGTCGGTAAGCTCGCCGGGTGTAGTGATCGAGGACGGGGCTGGAGAAGGGAGATAGACGGCTTGAGAGCCTTGGGAGGACTCCGGAGTGAAGATTGATGGGTACGGCGGCGCCTGGGGTACCTGCGAAGATGTGAACGTGAACTTGCGGGCGGCGGAGGCTCGGAGGCTCTCGTTCTCTGCTTGAAGGCGTTGATTCTCTTGAACCAGGTACTTGTTAGCGGAACCTAAAGCTGTCTCGGTGTTCATGACGTCTTCAAGTATGCGCTCATGCTCGGCCTTCTCATCTTTTCTCAATTGTTTCTCGCTCTGAAGCTCTTCGGTCAGCTGGCCGTTCCTTGCGTTGACATTGTCGAGCTTGATTCCCAGTCGGTCTCTGTCCTCGTGTGTCACTCGTAGGTTTTCTTGCTCCGTCTCAAGCTCGCGGTGAAGAGTTTGGAGCTGTTGACTAGTCGCGTTGTTGGTGTGAGTCTGGGCCAACTCACGGTCGCTCTTTGCCTTCTCGTGGAGCACCTTCTCTCGAGCGAGCTCGGCTTTGACGGCGTCGAGTTCCTGACGCAGCTGCTTTTTCTCATCAGCATGCTTCTCTTCCGAGTCCGCCATGTTGTCTTGCTGGTAGTTTTGTAGAGATAGATTTGTTGGGCAGAGGTTGGGTGTACTTTTCGAAGGAGAGACACCATCGAAATCCCATCTGGGAAACCGCTCGAAAGACAGGCGTGGCGTTGATCCGAGGTGAAGGGGTTCTGAATTCACCACGGAATCAGAGATACTGGGCTTTGCGTCCTCGTCAATGTCGATTTTCAAGGCATCAGATTCCGCGGTCACGTCGTCTTTACGGCCCATCCTTCTATGTCGCACATGCTGATATCCATCGTCTTCACTGTCGGATAAGGTGATAAGCTCGACGTCCTTGTTAGCCGTAGTGGACCATACAGTTGACATATTGTTGCCCATGCTGCTCCTGTCGTCCAGTTTTCTCTTGCTGTTTGCCTCGGTCTTCTGACATTTTGCTGCTCGCGGAGGAGTCACACGCGCGGGTGTAGTGCGCTTCCTTGACTTTTCTGTGGTCGTCTTACCAGCGTTCTTAGTTGGTGTTCGCTTAGTCGGCTGTCCTCGTTTTCCACTCACTGTAGGTTTCTTCGGTACCATGGTGGGCTTCAAATAGCCCGGATGTGCTTCTTCCGAGTGGCTCACATGAATCTTGGGGCGTTTAGGTGGAATGCAATGAGATTGAGCTTCACTGGGTCGTGCGGTTGATCTGCTATTTTCTGTTGCGACCGTTCGTGCCGACGGAGGTATCGTGGGGTTAGGCGATTTATGTTGGTATACCTTTTGGCGATCGAATAGTAAGCTAGCAAACAGACCAGATGCAGGTAGGGCTTGTGAGTGTGTTGGCGTCGTTGCTTTTGATGTTGGAGCCCCGATGGAAGGACTAGGTGAAGCTGCGGGCTTGCGACAGCTTCGGCTGGTAGATAAGCGCTCGCGAGCGGTCTGGTAATCGCAGGTAAGATTAGTATTGGATCCCATATTTCAATATACAGAAAGGTATCTCCGTATCGTATCGTATGTATCGTACGCAACAACGTTATAGGTGAGAGGGCAGCTTGAGCAGTAGAGAACGTACGTGTAGTAGTTGAAGTGTCGCCCATGCAAACTTCGATGGATGCTGCCTTGCACTATGCCTCAACAAATAGGTAGCAGAGCGGTGAGAGAGTCGTCGGAGGCGAGTGTGCTGTTTGCTGGCGTCTGTCACATGTCCTAGCAATGCTTTCCGACGTCAGAGGAGATCGGAAATACTTGAGCTGGGGAGAGATGAGAGCGGTCTTATAAAAGACACGAAATGGTTGTCAGTGTCGTAACAAGATAGCGGGTAGCGGGTAGTGGGTAAAGGTGACTTTTGGACGAGCCGCAGTCGATAAAGCGTTCGATCAATTTAACTCACTTCTGCCCGGATTGATCTGTTCCCATACATGACATGGGATGGTTGCTTTACACGGGTGTCCATTCGCTGTTGAGGTGCCGTCCATAAGATGTTAGTCGTGGTTGGCATACTCAGATACTTGGAGAAACACCATGTACTACGGGTTGTAAGGAAACGCCTTCAATTACAAACATGCTATACGCCCACTACTCTATTATATGGTATGCAACGACTACTCCGTGAAGTGTACCCATAATGCCTACATGCGCCGACCAAGCAACCTCGTCACTCGTTATGTCGTAAGAAAAGATAAGCGGAAAGTCGAACGCAAATCGCTAAAGCATCTATCAAGAAAGGAAGAAAAGGTTGATACAAGAAGGGAATAGTCACCGCATAGGAAATGTACTAATACATCTCCTCTTCTCTCTCTTTGCCGTTGCCATTAGTGTGTCTCACGCTGCCAACCACACTGGCACGTCCACTCCCACCGATGCGACTGCCACTCGCAGACGCAGTCCTTTGGACACTATCTGGGCCATCTTCATCTCGACGGTCCCTCTCCTTCTCAAGCGCAGCCCTGAGGTCCGCATTTTCTTCTACCTTCTGCTCTAACCTCTTACGGGCACCGCTTCGGTCAAGGAGTCGGGCTTCACGCTCGGCCTTCAAACGCCGTTCGAGTTCCTTAAGTCGATGTATCCACTTCTGTTCACTTGGCTGAAGCGGTCCGGCGGCGGGATAGGGATGGCCTGGCGTCGGCGTCGACGAATTCGACGTCGAAAAATGCTCCACGACAGAAGCGGAGTGAGCACGCAATAGTGTTTGCGCCATACTGGCACGTTTGGAGGAGGTCGGCGAGGCAGCACGTGATGGTGAGCGGCTGACAATAACATCGTTGCCGGACTGCGTCGTGGCGGTAATGGCTCGGAGGGTCTGGACCTCGGAGCGTAAGGTCTTGTTCTCAGTACGCAGTTTGTTGACTTCCGCGGTGTTCAGGTCGACGATACCGCCACGGACAGTGCTAGGTCTTCCAATCGATTGCCGTTGGGCCATTACAAGCTTCTCGAGCTGATCAAGTCGCTTGGCGCGAGAGTCTAGGCTATGCTCGAGAGTTTGGTAGTCGCGGACCAGATTATTTTCTATGTTGCGAATTCTTTGCTTGAAGGCACCAATGACACCCTCCACGGTCCTCACCGCCAGAATGATGTTCTTGTGGAAGCCCTGGACGTTCCTAGAAATGAGCTCCATAGAAGTCAGTTCTCCGTTGATGAGAGCGTTATTGCGGGACCATTCTGCGCCGCAAAGAGTGGACAGTCGATTCCACAGAGCGTAGAGCAGATTGTTTCGTTCTAGCAGCTGCTCCTTGTACTGTTTCTCCAGACTGTGGAGTCTCTGCCGATCCTGACTACGAAGGGTTTCAAGTTCCAGAACCCTCGATTCGTGTTGCTGGATCGCCCTGGTAGTAGATTGATGACCACGCTTGGCGTTCTCGAATGCTGTTTGGTCTTGTCGACGGCCTTGACGTTCGCGCTCGAGCAGCTCTGAAAGGCGGCGGCTCTCCATGCCAGTGCTCTCCAAGAGAGCATCGCGGTTGCGCAGCAAACGGTCTTTCTCCGCAAGATCGGTTTTAACGACATCGAGCTCTTGCATAGTCGCTTGAAGATCTCGTTGAAGCTTTGCGATATCCTGAACGATCAGTTAGTATGTTTCTAGACGATCAGGAGTGAGGTCACTTACCTTAAAGAGGCTCGACCTCGTGCCGTTGAGGTTGCCCAGTGACTCACGAAGCATTTGCTCCAACTCGTCATGCCGTTGCTTCCAAGTGGATGCCTCAACTTCCTTGCTTGAGAGGTTCTTTCGTAGCTTCCTGCTCTCTTCCTTGAGCTTCGACAACTGACCATTGAGTTCGGTGATGATCTTCTCCACCTCTTGTTTCTCCTGGGTTTCCAAGGCGTCGCGTTGCTGCCTCTCCTCGGCCATGCGCTCCTCAAGATCCCGAGAACGTTCTCTGGCCTCTTGTAACGTGACTTGAGTATGGTTCAGCGCTGATTCCAGCTCGCCAATCTTGATCTTGTCGCCCTCTTGCTCTTCTCTCAGGAAATCGATCTCACCCTGACAAGACTCAAGTTGGACGTCAAGTCGTTCATTCTTCGACCTCTCCTCACTAAGGAGCTTGTCTTGTCGGTTCAGTTCTTCGTTGGCGTCGCCAAGCTCTGATTCAAGGTTCTGAATCTTGCGAAGGCTTGCATCCCGATCGTCTTCGAGCTGCAAAAGACTCTCACTGACATTCTTCATTTCTTGTTGTAAAGCATGGAAGTCTTCAGTGGTGTTTTCCAGATCGTTGTAAAGACGGTCACGTTCCGCTTGCTTTTGCTCGAGGTCAATCTCCAACCTTTGCACCGTATCCAGGGCTTCTTGTCTGAGCTCTTCAGTCTCCTGCTCTTTGTCTTGTAGCAGCTCCAGAGCCTCGTCGCGCTCGCTTGCTAGTGCCTGCAGGTCTTCTGTCTGTGCTTCTATCTCCCTCTCCAGCTCCTTGACCTTGTTCTCGGTGGTCTCAAGCATGTCAAGATGACCGTTGAGCTGGTCATCAAGCTCCTTGTATGAAAGCTTCAGCTGCGACAGCTCGTCCCGCAGTGCGGCATTTTTGCTTTCGAAGTCTTCTCGATCGGGATCGCTTTGCTGGGTCAAACGTGTTCCGCCGCTTGCTCTCGAAACAGATCTCATGTGGTTGCGGGAGATGGATCGTTCCAGAATGCTATCACCGGCTGTCGATCCAGCATCTCCTCTGCGAATTGTGAGTTTCAACCCTTCGTTCTCTTCCCTCAGTCGAAGATTCTCTCGATTCCTTGAAGTGAGCATGGAAGCTTGTGCGTGGAGATCCCGTTGCAGCTTTTCGTTGTCGCTTTGTAGATGTTCCACTAAAGTACTACTCGTGCCACCAAGCGAGACTGGCGCAGTGTTCTCGTTGCCGTCAGATCCAGAGTTCGAACGGGCAGCAAAGGATTGATGCATGCGCCGTGAGTTGTTGAAGACCTTGTTCATGTGATGGTTCGTTGTCGAGTGCTGCATCTGTTGCATCTGCTGGCTTTGTTCTTTCAGACGCTCAAGCTCCTCTCGAAGCCTCTCGGTCTCGGTCTCTGCTTGCTGACATCGGGTTTCCACTTGCTCGCGCCTCGCACGCTCCTCTTCGAAGTCTTCTTTCCACATGTTGATAGCCTCGTCAACACCAGCAGAATCTTCACCAGAGCTCTTCTCTCGCATGGTCTTGATGTAATCAGCCATGCGTCGATTGTCAGCTTCCTTCTGCAGAGCCTCCTGTTGCCACTGGTCCACTGTAATCTCCGTCGACTCTAGGCGCTCCCGCAGGAACTCGATCTCTTCCTCCAGTTCGGCTTGCCTAGATGACTGGACACTTCGTCCATCTTCTGAGCCGCTGCCAACGTCTCTAGCGGTAGCATGTCCCTCTTCCTGAGCCTTGAGCCTTCGCTCCAGATCACGAATCTTCTTGCGCATCGACTGGCTTTCCTTCTTCTCTGTCGCCAGATCAGTTTGCAGTTGAACGTTCTTCGAGATCATCTCCTTGACCCCCTCGTCAGACCGGTTCTGCAACGCTTGGTCGAGGAAATGGATTTTGAGCTTAAGATCAAAGTTCTCTTTGCTGAGCTTGTCGATTTTGCTGTTCTGCTCCTTCAGCGTGAGATTGTGTTTACTGCGAGTGAAGGGAGTAGCCATGTGTCGTTTGTCTGGCGATCGCGAGTGCTTAGCTCGGAAGTCGCGTGCAATCGAGTCTGGTACTTGTATATCCTGGACATGTCTAGCAATAACGGTGTCGGTGGGGGCGGGCTGCACACTAGGAGCGCGTGGTGTCTCTGGTGGAGTCGCGCTGTTGGGCACCTCCTCGTCCAGACGACCTAGACTATTATCCGGCTGAAGAAAAGCGGACAGTGAGTTCGTGCTAATGCTCCGACCCTTCTCCCAGGGATTGGTATCGCTGTAGCCTGACATCGACGAGGCGATGCTACCCAAGCTTGGCAGCCTCGACAGTCCTAGGCTCATCCCCCGTGGACCGCTTGAACGAGGAATAGCACCACCAGTCTGCAAAGCATAGTCTGCGCCGAGACTTGCACTGCTTCCGCCATCTCCAGACGCGTCGGAACGGTTGGTGAAGGACGATACGGATGACCGCTGGCTCGAACCTCGGTGCTGTAGGTAGCTGGGTCGCTTGCTGATC